TCAAAACAATAATTTAAATTCAGCATTCTTTTTAATTAGTCTGTTTATAAAAACCTTATTAATTAGAATAATCTATATTCTACTTCAAGTTTTATTTTTTCGACGAAACAGGAACACTAGAAAAAAAACTCTAGAAATTTTTTCGACGAAACAGGAAAATTAATGAAGCTTTCAACGAAACGGGAATTCACCCTTCAAACGGTCAAGCTGTAAATGATTAGACTGAATAGAAATAATATTCGGTTCAATATTCATATTACACCAGAGAAATACATTGAAATAATTAATAGATTAGAGTTTTTAAATAATTCACCTAAAAATTCAGCAGAAAGAAAAAAAACATTTGATTATAAATTATTACAGAAATTTGAATTGTTAATAATCGATACTCATGATCAATAAGCGTCGTCCGAATCCACAAGACAATATACTTTATATTTTTAATACCTTGGAAACATTTAACATAATTGGTGAAGCACATAAACGAATAGAACATGGTGGTAGAGATCGTACATTAAAAGAACTAAAATCAAAATATTTTAATATTACTGAAGAATGTGTTGAAATTTATATGAATAATTGTGAAGAATGTTAAAGAAAGAAAATATAATCGAAAAGATCTTGAACACGGTGAAACCATTTTAAAACCAACTGCAGTAGATAATACGTCATTACCACTGCGTTCAGTTGTAGCTAATGAATGATTAGTTGATGGTCAAGGACTTTTTCATTCTGACTGTCGTCATGGTTGTGAAACCAACAGTTATAAATGGAAAAAGAGCTCTGTTTCATGTAACTCTCGTTGTCAATCATTAAAACCATGTAAAAATAAAAACATAATCTGTTAATGCACCTTGCTCAATTGAAAGAATAACATTTGATCATATCAATGTGTTGCATCGAAAAACAAGAGATTAGTCAAACATAATTTTCAGAAATAGATTACTAAATTTTACGGTTTTTCTACTCTAACTTCAAACATCAGTTGTCTACATAATTTATCAATTAATTATATTCCAAGAAAAATTTCAATGCCACATACTCAAACTCCCTGAACACTATCAGGGAATATAAATATTCCCTATAAATATTAGGGAATTTGCACATTCCTTGATTTCCTACATTCTCTGTAACATATATATATATGTACATAACCTTAGTGAGTGTATTTGCGACTAAGCGTCTGAATACTTATGAAAATTCATAATCATCCGAAGATTTAATGATACTTGCATTTCTTAAATTTTTTTTTCATCAGTTTTGCTGGGAAACGAAAAAGTATTTTGAAAAAAACCTTGTCAAAAATGCGGCACAAACAGTGCATGGTGGATAAAACTTTTACAACAAAATGTGCGCAATGGTCGATTGCGGGGGGCGGAGAACGTTGTCTGTTTTTCAAAATTTTATTGCATATGTTTTAAATTTAAATTATTTTCAGATTTAAAACTCAAAAACATTTAAATTTAAGTTTTTTCAAAATTTTCCCATTAACTCTGAAAAACAGACAAGGTAACATGGTGGCTAGATAGCCCAAAGTGTTCTCAACAATTCTGCGCAACCTCCCTATCTGTTGTGGTTCTCGAATGGCAGGCATTTTACTTGACCAAATGGTAATGAATTTCGGGTGACTCAGGAAAATGCCTGTCATTCGAGAACCACAACAGATAGAGAGGTCGGCCTTGCACAGAATTGTAGAAAATATTTTTGGCTATCTAGTCACCATGTAGAAATTAAAAAACCACTGCAGATTCAGAATCTGGTAACGTCATCGGTTTTCATCCATCAGGTACACCGCGTGAAAAATCAAGATTTTTAGCATCAGATATATGTGAAGTTAGAGTAAAGCCCTTTGTACAAAGTGCTGAAAAACCGAACTTTCTATCTCTTTTTGTCCTCAAGTTACACAAAAAACATCCATGGACGCTCTGTTAAGAAATCCAAAGTGGAAACCTCATTTGCCTAAAACCGAGTACAAATAACTGCTTATCGGTAACACTTTGAAAAGACAAATACAGGGATTTGTAGCGCTTGGAAATGTCTGTCGAATGGCGTATTACGTTACTGTTTCCAATAAATCGTTAATTTGCAAATAAAAGTGTTACGCATCAGAGTGATATTAATTAGTATTCAGTAGCATGATTAATTATAAATTATTGTCTTAAGAAAATTTTTTTCATCAAATCATAATAACAGACCATTGGCTATCAAACCATGCAAGAATGACATTTCTACGATTATTTTTAATCGAGCTACAAGCTTTGCGAAATGCGAACTAGCTACCCAAATTCTAATTAAAATTTAAAATTAATTAATTAATAACTCTGGAAATACTTACCAGTTCCTCGAAAGAGCTTAAGGATATATGTTGTCAGGTGTCCTCTTTAAACTGGCATAGTTCGAGGATATATATAGGGGGGGGGACCCCGCCTAAGGCGTAGTTCACGCTAATAGGACAAGTACTCAAGATAATTCATCGAATTTAAACTTAAATGGGCACTAAGTAAATATGTAGTTCAAATAAACCATTTTATTAATTTTAATAATGCTAAAATGTTAGTTAGAGGCCATAGACGTTATTGACTATTGGTAAAAGAATCTCCAGCGATTCGTACAAATACACCACAGTTTACGATACAGATAGATCAGTACTCTTGTACATTTTCCTTCTGTTTCTTTCAGTCATCGATGCCGTATAAAAAGAAAAGGAAAGACCATTTAAACTAGTTAAATATATGAAAAAGTCATTCCACTGTCAACTATATTTCATGTTTTTGTTGTAAGTTTATAATGTTTATCCAGGTCAGATAAGAATATTCCAAGATTTAAGTACATTCTTTTTTCTTCTTTTTCTTCTTTCTCCCGTTTTTCATAGATTTACAGTTCTCTTGTACAGGTTATCACGTACATTGGGTTTAAACTTTAATATAGAAGGAACAGTAATCAAATTGGACTGTGCCCATTGTATGACACTTGGAAAGAGAAAAAGGCAACAAGAAAAAATAGATAAATAAAAAATAAAATGATACAGTTTTAACAGATGAAAACAGTAGAGATAAGAAAGAGATGTTTAATTTTGTGGAGGGATTTTCTGTGGCGACCGTGTGAGTGAGGTGAAATAAGGAACGTAGTGAATTTTCCTAGTTCTGTCCTCAAATCTAGTTATACGATGTCTAATTTCACCATAGACTTCAGCTTTTGCTGATTCTATCAATTTGAGTCTAAATCTAGTATAATTTGTTATCAAACGAAGTTCAAGAGAAACATCTTACAAGTTGCTGTGATGAAAGAGTTTTCATATATCATTAATCCACGGCACTGAACTGGAATTTGTTGAACAACTATACTTCTACTTCTTAGTGAATAAGTATGTGATGTAGTATCAGTTGGAATGAGACTCGTACATTTATAAGGTGCACCTAATACAAACGTACAACAGGATTTTTTTTCAATTTATTATACATCGTTGGATAGAATGCATCGAGCTGGTTAAGAAAAATGTATTTTTTAATTTTTGAAAAAATCTTTTTCATGGTAAGAAATGTAAAAAACTTGAAGGACCGTAAAAACCCCGAACAAATCCTTCAGGTTCAAAAAAATTCAAATTTTCGTTGTCTTTGCTAGTCTGGATTTTCCAAAGTATTTTTTTCTTATTACACATTAAAAATTGAATAGAAAAAATTTCTCCAACAGAACTCAACTTCTATGTGCTAAAAAATATCATATTCGGAATGAGGATCAAAAGCTGAATCGGCTGATGTGTATTTCGTAATTTTTAGTCGATTTTCATTTTTGGTGAAAATCTCGATGCTTTTTCAACGTGAAAATACGAAAAAAAAATGAAAGTAGTCGGATAGGATAGAGATACACATCAGACGATTCAGCTCTTGATCTGCGGAAAGATGAGTGAGTGAGAAGAACCGAAGATCTTAACATCTGAATATCTAAATATCCAAATAAATAACATTTGAATATCAGAATATCTAAACATCTAGATACTATGTAAGTTGCAGGTGTTCACAAATCAGACCGATGTAGTTCTGTTGGAGAAAATTGAGAATTTATGAGTCGAATTCCGACTCTTTCGCCTCTGCTTTAAGAAAAGGAATTTCCTTAGCGACGAGACAAAATTTTAAAAAAAGGAAGCATATTTTTAAAGCCGGACTTACAGCAAATCTAATGACGTTCAACTGACGACTTCAGCTATTAACACAGAAAAACTAGACAGGTTTATAAAATTCCTTGGCGGTATTTTAGGAGATTCGTTCCTCAATGCCAGAATTTAGAACATTGCACACAATAAGTTTCATTAAATGAAACCTCCACTCAGGAGTACATCAGCAAAAGCAAAAACCCTTCGTTAGTAGAGGTTCGTAGTAACACTTGACTACGAAACCAAAAAACTAATATTTGAATCCCGAACAGTCAAACCATAATGGTATCAGACGTGATACCGGATGACTAATCGAAAACAAATCAGATGTTTGAGCTGTTCGATGGTTTTCGTCTTGTCTTAGTCATAAAGAACGAATGTTTCTCTATCTTTCGTGTACTTATTCACTTTCATATTTCGTAATAAAATACTCCATACGTTTTTGCAAAGAATGTCAAGACGCATCTTTTGAGCAAAAAGTTGGCCCTTGAGAATATATCCGGAAAACAAAATGATCAAAATGCAGAGAGGTCTATTTTTTATGGATCATGTGTTCAAACCTTGTTAAGATTTCCATGTAACTTAAAACGCAAAAATCGTAAAAAAAAACCTTCAACATTCAGTTCCCTCCATTAATTAGAGACAAAATGTAAATAAATTGTTACAATGGTCTAAAAATGTCCATGTACTAAACATTCAACGTGTTATTAATCGGGATTTAATATAATCAGTACATCGGTTCCGCCTTCGTGAATGAAAAAGGTTCGTAAGGACGAAAAAAGAATTTTATAAAGATAGCCAGTATGGATCACTTACATTATTGAACTCTTTTATTGAATCAAAACACCTACACTATCGCTAAATAGTAGTCAAGAACGACATCTTCTTCTCTGTCTCCGTTCGTTTATTCTTATTGGCATGTCAAAACGCCGTCATGTCAAAACCAATGTTATTTAGATGTTTGCTCTTCTTACGAGTTCTTACGTCGTTAGTGAGGCAGAAAGATAGTACTTGTCTGTTTTTCTACAAAGAGAAGCCCCGTAGTTCAGTTCCAACGGATGACAGAGCATTCTAAGGTGTCGAGCGACTGAGTTGCTGCCTTTTTTAGAGCCAAGATGTAGTACAACTGCACATTCTCGGTCGAAACTAATTGCAGATGTTCTCTTATGTTACTCTGATGGATTACTCTGAAGTAACATTCCTCTATTCTCAGCAAATGATGGAATAATATTTACATTGCAACGTTTCATTTTAGAATGAACGAAGTATATTCATTTGGAAATTTCCCGATTGTTGCTCATGCATGGAATAATGATCGTACTCGTATGTTTCCCAGATCTCTTATTTGTTCCTCGCATGACGTTGAATGGTTATGCGTGGTTCGGTCCACTAGTCTTAACTATCGAGCGAATGCACTAGACGTCAAGCACCGAACAAGCTCTTTTTGTGCCGACACTCGACTAGGCTAAACTTGACTTTCTTCGTCTATCTATTTGTCTTTTGTTTCAGAATTGGCGTTATCGCTGGGGAACAACGACGTGCGTATATATCAAAAAACTGCTGGCAAATGGAACCTAACAACCACGTGGAGTGATCATTTATCCCGCGTACTAGCTATTGACTGGGCTCCAACAACAAATCGAATTGTTTCTGCCAGTGCTGTAAGTCGCCTTTTCTCACTATAACATAAATGGTACAAACAGACGTTTACTGCTGTTTTCAGGATTACAATGCATATGTGTGGACATGCGAAGAGGGCAAATGGAAACCACAACTAGTTGAACTACAGCGCACAAGTCGTGCTGTTTGTTGTGCTAAATGGTCTCCTAAAGGTGAGAAAATCGCTTTTGTCTACCGAACTCTAGTTATTTCTCACGTTCCGTTTAGAAAATAAATTTGCGGTTGGGTCAAGCGATAAAAATATTGCCATTTGTTATTATGAGGAAGATCAACGTTTTTGGGCAGCTGAGATGGTTAAAAAAAAGCCCAAGTCAACAGTAACATGCATCGATTGGCATCCAAACAATCAACTCGTCGCTGTTGGTAATTGTGATTACAGATGTCGGTAAGTTAACGAAATAATCACTGAGTATGCTGTTATATGCGATTAGTTTTGTTTCACAGAATTTATTCAGCCTATATTGACACTGTTGATTCCAAGCTGGAAACATCGAGCTGGGGAAAGATTAGCGGCGCTGGTGAATTGTTACATGAGTTTCAGACAGGTGAGAACGAGTGACATGGTGAAGAAGTTTTGTGGCACCAGATCTGTATGGTGACCGTGAATATTCCGTTCTTCTGACGTACAAGTTTTTGTTTCCTTTACAAAAATCATCGACGTTGTTCTTTTCCCTTTTAGAATCTGGATGGATCCATGATGTTGCATTTTCTCCATCAGGCGAAAGTTTAGCTTGGGTTTCACACAATTCAATCATATCAGTAGTCACAGCCAGTAATACATCAAGGTTAGCTCAATTTTGGACTTGGATATACATTATCATAAAGATCTTGTGTGTGTTTAGAATAACCATGGAGATGACAAGCTATTTACCGTTTCGGTGCATTATTTTTATAAGCGAAAATACTCTTGTCACGGGGGTATGTTTCACTATCAAAACTCGATTAACGCTTGAAAAATGACATTCGTTGTTTTCTCTCTTGTAGGGACATGAGTTTTCACCATTGATTTATAAGTATGATGAACAAAATGGAACTATCCAATACGTTCGGAAATTAGTTCAAGAAGCAAACACAAATAGACAGTCGGTCAAGTGAGTAAGAAAAATTGTGTCAAGTAAAATACATTTTTTGCTTTGAATATTTAAGCTCCGTTTTGCTAAATAAATTATTTGACGAAGATTTTGTTGATATGTTGACGTCATTGCAGGCATCGTAGCAAGTTAGCAGATAAACGTTTTCAACTATTGTATCTGTTTTTTCATGTATGGTTTGCGGAATATGTATCGAGTGCGAATAAGCATGCTTACGCGAAATGTTAGTGCATGATGTTTCGAGCAAGAATAAGACCGCTGTGAACAGATGTGAGATGCCACATCTCTCGGCTCTCCTTCGCACAGTATTTTGGTTCCATCTGCTAAACTTATGAAGTAATTTCGTTTGCTCGCTTCTGCATGGTTTAATGAAGTATTGTCAAGATGATGATTCCTTTTGTTTTAATGTGGACTTTGTGGTGTTTTAGTCGTTTATTCAACCAAGCCGCAATGCAAACTCAAACGCCTGAACCTGTGTCGATGCATCAGAGCATGATTACGTAAGAGGAACGCATGCATGAAGTTGTACTTCATACATTGGTGATAATTTTGCATTTTTCGTTTCAGACAAATTGTACCTTATGAGACAGAGGGAAATACAATATCAAAAATTAGCTCGGCCGACCTGTTCGGACAAATTGTTATATGGAAAGTTTAGGAACCAAGGTCAGAAGTAAGTAAAACTACAAAATATGATATTGTGAAGTTTGAAGAAGGAAGAGAAGTGAACACTGTGTGAAATGTAGATGCGAAGGCTCATAAAGCTTTGCAACTTTTTCGCTGTGGCGGGTGCACATAGAACATAGAGTCGTGACATGGATTTAGAAAGTTCTTCTCTTTTCTAACACGCATAATTTTCTCTGTTTAGAAACTGGAAAACTCTGTTGTGATAAAGCCGTTTTGTTTGTCGATGAACCATTTTGTTGTGTTATTGTAGTCTTCATTTTCGGTGTCTTCTGCTCCAAATATAAATTTTGTTTGTTCGCTTCGAAAACAAGACATGTTAGAATATTTTCATTATATTTATTGAGCCATTTCGTTCCTTCATCATACATGATCGATTCCTAATACAGTTGATTTTTGCTTTCTTTTGGAACTGCCGTTGATTCGTGCAATATTTATTGTTAACTCTGTTCTTTGAGATTGTTTTTTCTTTTTTTGTATTTTTATATTACATTTGGATGCGACGATGACTGAGCATTTTCCTAATTAGTATCAGTTTTTTGACGAATGTGTATTAATGTGTCTTTTACATATCATTGATTGCAATAAAGAAGATAATACTGGTTTAACTGGTAAAATGGGGTGTAGCAAGGAAAGATTGTGTGGAATGTTTTTGTGTAGTGTTTGATTTTAGTAGTTATGTTGTTTGCTAAGAAAGGCTGTGTTTAGATAGACCTAAAGTGATATGCCTTGTTGTTTACATGTGTTCTAGTATTACAGGACATTCGAGTTTTTTTTCTGTGTGAGAGATTCACTCATGGTGTGCAATATACAGACCTAGTAGTTTAACCTCAGCACTCTCATAAATAGAACATTTCGTAGTTAGATTACTGCTAGTATGTGAGGTATAGTGCATGGTGTTTTAATTTTACATCTCTTCTCTTTTTATATGTTCACTAGATTTAAAATTTTCTGAAACGCACAAGTTATGGAAAAACTAAGGAAATGATAAGAAGCCTGATATTTTTAGATGCTTAGAGAAAGCAGATAAGACGTAGTTATATTCTTGTCGCGTAAACAGGTAAGATTCTTACCAAAGTTACATAGTCAAATTATTTTCAAGTTACCAAAAACAATTTCATGTTTGAGCAGTTACAATCCAGAAAAGTTCGCATCCCTCGGTTGATATAGTGAAAATCCTAATTATAACTATGAATCACAGTTCAATTCGGTTTGATTTATATAACTGCGGTTGAAAGAGTTAAAACTCCAAATGGATAGAGTGATAACTATTTCAACTCCAGTCATAACTGCATCAGCTTAGTAATGACCACCCCACCCAACATAAAATTACGAAAGCTCATTTCAGTTGGTATTGTGGTACACTTATAACTGTCTACTAGGGATCGTAACTCTCTCAACTGTAGTTATATCAGTCTGCACTATCAAACGGAGTTATAACTATCAATCATGATTGACAGTTATAATATTTTAATTTTTTTACTAAAAGTTAAATTAGTTATTGAGTGGTCCAGATTAAACGGCGGTCTCACTATTCTATCAAGATCTCTTTTAGTTTTCGTTGCTTACACTTGCAAAAAGGATTCCCCGTTCAATTCTCTACAAGAACGTACAATACAAGGATTTAATTCAATAAATCAAGGATTAAATTCAATACAAGGACGTTTGATCTCAAATTTCAATATGAAAAATTGAACTAATAATACTGTGAAGCTTTAGCATGTTTAACTTTCTAAACTCTCTAGAAAAACAAATAGATTTTCTTGATTTTGTTTGTTCGCACTTTGAGACATTAAGAAAATGAACTAACCATTATTGTAGCGTTTCAACAGTTCTTGACAAAATACTGAGACCACCATTTAATCTGGATCACCCAATATAATTAGTTTTAACTCCAACTACTTAGTTATAACTCAGCTGGTTTCAAAACCCATCAGTGCATGTCCCACGTCGTAAAAATACGATACTTCCATGTATGGAATTTTTTTATCCCACTCGTTACCGTCAATCTCTCCTCGTATCTGTAGTACGTGAAGAAACAATTTTTTACATGCGTGGAAGGTGTCCACGTATAGTAGGAGGCAAAGATATTTCACGTTTTATTGTAGTCATGAGTGGAATAACTGCATACGTGGTAACGTATACAAAAAACATTCTTCCACGTATGGCAGCACGTGAAGGTTTCTCATGCGTTTTGTAGTGGGTTTAAAGGTTCGAAAACTGGACAATCTCCACAGTGTGAAGAATTCCATGCATATGCTATTACGATATATACGATATGCTATTTCTTTGCCTAAACATCGTCAGAAGGTAAATACTTTTCTCATCATTTCGAGGCCTGGTTTCTGATTGGATGGATAATATAGACTGGAATGTACAATGTGAAACTTCTAGAACTACTCTTATATATATATATGTATATGTATATATACAAAAAAATACGTAAAATTTAGTAATCTATTTCTTAAAATTATGTTTGATTAATCTCTTGTCTTTTGATGCGACACATTGATATGATCAAATGTTATTTTTTCAACCGAGCAAAGTAAAATTTCGTTGCCTAATTAATAATGAAGAAGGATTATTATGTTCTTCAAATGGGTTAGTTCCCGTTTCGTCGAAAGCTTAATTGATATTTCTGTTTCGTCGAAAAATAAAACTTGAAGTATAATATAGATTATTCTAACTGATACAGTGTATTGAAAAAAGTAGAGTATATATTATTCTAATTAATGAGGGTTTTCTAAACAGACTAATTAAAAAGAATGCTGAATTATTCTAACTGTAGTATATATACATGCAGTTAGGAACGGAAATTAATCACTATCTATTCTGTTTGTATTCAACTATAACACAATGATTTCTCTGCTATATTTTTCACTATATTTCATGTTATCTATTGTTGAAAGTAAACGTAAAAAAAAATTTTATTACTTGAAACTTTTCGTTACCCCCTAGACAAAATTGTGAATACTACCGTTTACTGGAAATGTGAAGACCGTTCGTGTCCTGGGCGTGCTGTACAATATGGGTCGGATCAACCAGGTATGAAGAAGCCACACAATCACAGTGGCGACGAAAATAAATGTAAAGTTGAAGAATTTAAAATGAATTTAAAACGACGTATTGAAGAATCACCACAACCGGTAAAAAGAATTTATAGAGACGAAATAATATCCTTACAAACAACTGCACTACAATTGACCTCATTTACACCAATGTTTCATGAAATGAAAAATTCATTCAAAAAATTTTGATTTTTGTTTTTATTATCATTTGTTTTGTTTCGTTCTCTAATAATGTATTTTTCAAAACAATAATTTAAATT